AGCAATGTGAACACAAAGTTAGATAAAGAAAAGCAACCAACAATGACCCCCGTTTTAGTGAGGCCAAAAAACATTGTTCTAATTAAGCTTAACAAAATTCTGGCCATTCCAAATCGAAACAAACGCTGCAGGAGTTCAGCCGGTGGATCATGTTCGAAAACACAACTCCATCGCATAGCACCCAGCTCACAACTCGCAAAAAGAATCCGCAAATCAGAGCTCCTAACCATATTTGCCAAACTTAACGATTGCATCAACATTTTTGCGCTCACTCGTTATAGTTTTCGTCGGAGGTCTTATGACAATGTCTTGTCTTCGGAATGCTTTAAATACACTCACGCAGTCCGTCGAGCGATTTTAATGCAGTGAAAACCATTTGATGGAATTCGGACAGGGAATTTGGAATGGCCAAACACCTATTGGCTCAAAGTTAACACATCGTAAACAATCCGCTGTGAAACTAGTCGGGGCATAAATCAAACTGCAGCTGACGACCCCAGTTCAAGACCTTTACTCTCACTTTTCTCCCTCCCAACTGATCCAACCGATCCAATGGCCAACTCCAAAGAAGGCGGAAACAAGAAGCGCGGGCGTATATAAACATGTCCAGCATTAATATGCAAATCGATGGGCCCATCATAAAACGAAATAGAAAACACACAAAAACATCTTCGAAATGTGTCACTGTGTCGATGTGCGTGAGTGTGTCCGTCCGTCTCTAACGGACAAAGTGGTAAGAGCCAGTTCCGGGATGCAAGAAGCCGCCTAGAGCGGAGTACGTGATGGCGCTAAGATGGCTTCGATTGGCAGAAATGTTTCGGACCAGATTAAAATATTAAATCTAAATTTATGTTTTAATGAAAATATTTTTTGGATTCTTGAGCCTAAAAGTTTATAAAATAGTTATTTTTTTACTAAAAAACATTGGTTTTCTTAGTTGTATTTTGTTTGTTGTTCTTAGTTGCATTTATTGGTATTTGTAGAACTTCCAAACAGCAGAACTTATTTAATTGACTTACAGAAATCTTATATAATTAAAGACGCTTAAAGAGGTTTAATGTCTATTATTCATTAACAAAATATCAACAAGATTATTAAAATACTAAAATTATTTTGAACTCAAATTTTGTGACAATATTGGCTGCTTATAATACAAAGTATTATGTAAAAACATTTATTTTGAAAAAAATGTTTTGTTTTAAAGTACTAAGTTAAAAAGAAAAGTGTATTTGTTAATATCCGAACTGAGAACCATAGGTAAACTGGGACATTCCCGAAAAATATAATATTTTTTAATGGAATCAAAAACCACAACACACTTTGTTACTCATCACGTTATCATCTCTAGATTGAGACCTGAGAGCAGTAGAAACACTAAACGAAAAGCAAAGCGAACCGAGCCAAACCAAACCGAACTGCCCCATCAGCGACAGCATCTTAAGCTCATTTGTCACATAAAAATCATATATGTAATTTGCTTGACATCCAAAAGTGGACACCGAAAGTCACGCGCCGGTGCAGCAAACGCCTCCATATTGGTGTAGGCTTTTGGCCGAGAGAAAGGTTGTGGATTGGACAGTTGGGGATCGGGGATCAGGGAGCTGGATGCTGGATGCTGAATGGTGAATGCTGGATGCTGGGAGCGTCCACGGTGATGATGGCATCCAGAGTTGCGGCTTCAATCTCGGCGGCGCATGCGTTTTGGTGTCGCGTTGAGTGAGCGTTTCCTTAAATTAGCTGCACTTTGGATGCACCATTATGTGCCGCTCGCCCAGGCACTTGATGAGGTGTCGTCGTCGTCATCGTCGTGGTCTTGGAACCGCTCTTCTGAGTCGTCATCATCATGGCCATTTTTGGGTGGGCATTAAGTGCCGGGCTCTCTGATGGAGTGTTGAGGTCAGTTGGTAAGAAATTTATGGCCCCGCAATGTTTGCATGATGCATGATACTGCTGCTCCAGCATTCAGGTGGGCGCAATTGAGTTGGATCATAAAGTGCCACAAAAGAGAAATTACAAGAGCCGTCACATAACTAGCTTTCTGTCAAAAACAATCTACGACCCTGATAGAATGGGCATTTTTCGGTGAATGGCATACGAATTAATCAATTAGACGATGTTCTCGAACTGCTCAATCATATAAGAAGTTTGAATTGATGGGTACTGTTAGTTTTTACGGTAATTAAAAGATTTTAGGTGTTACCAGTCGTAAGAAATTTAATCATTTACGAAATAAAATGAATTTTTATTTGTTTTAACAGATTTTTAAAATACAAATTTTCATTGCATACTCTTGCGTAAGCCTGGCGTCTTTGGTAGATTTTTGATTGGATTTTAAACGAGTTTTTAAGGAAAGCAATCGCGTTTTTTCAAAATGCTAACTTAATAAATTATGGATGGAAGATTTTAAAATAATATTAATACTGTTACCCTTTACCAGAACTAACAATTTTAAATGTTCTATTTAGAACAAAGGTATAAAAGGGACTGATTACTTTCAAAGTGTGGGAAAGAAATCAAACATTTAAGCTTTCGGATCAATACTGCAAACGTTATTTTAAAAAATCATTAAAATATCATCTGTATTTACATTGCACATTTTTAATATTTAAAAATTGTTATAAGGGCATCCCTTAGTTTTTCAATTTAATAAGTAAGAATGTATTGTATTTTTTCCTATTACAAAATTCTATTCAATTTTAATGTAATTTAGGACTACAGGTTGTTTACTATTAAGATATTAAAGCTTCCAAATAATTTATTTAAGTTACAGACGCTTATCACCCATTAACTAAATTAAATGAAGTAAAGAAATGTCACCAATGGATTTTCCACTTTTGGGAACAAGAATTTCAGTGTCAGAACTAAGATGCTCAATCAATTATGTACCAATTTCCAACTTGACTTGCAACTTGGAACTCTTCGCAACTTCCTTGTTAAGCCTGGGAAGAGTGAAGAAAAGAAAAACCAACTCTTACTCTCTCGCATCCGGTTCTCAGCGAGGGGAATATCTTCGGTAGAACCGTTTAAGCAATCCATTTAAACAACGAGACACTTCAAAGCGAAGCTGCTGAATGTCTATCTGCGCTAAATGGAAAAGCCCTCAACGGCTTAGGCAAACATTTGCAATTACAATTTTAGCATATAATTGCAAGCATGATAAACACTTTTATCTGCTGCTGCTGCTGCTTCTGTTCACTCTCTGCGATGCGATGTGATGGGAGGCCAAGTCGAGGCAAACCCGATCCGCAGTTAGGCCAGAACCAGGACCAGTCTGGCCACATCTCACGCAGCATCAGCAGGTTAGCCCAAGCTGCCAAGAAGAAGCGTGTCGCCAATTCGTGAGGTTTACCTAGAAAAATGTCGCGACAATTGTGTCCGCAAAAAGGAAAACTAAACGAAACGAACAAAAGACAAACGACAGCAGAAGCCACTTAGAGATGAGAACTTGGCTAGGTCCACTAAAGGATTACTGAGGAAAAACTATTGGAAAATAGTGTGAATAACTAATGTAAATCAGACTTATGGGTTTTTAAACATAAATAAAAGGCAATGCCATAAGTAAAATTCTTAACACTAAAATTTTACATATGGTATTTTTGAGCCTTAGTTTGAATAAATAATTGTTAATGAATATCAAAATCCTTATTTTGAAAAATAAAAAATGTTTGGCTTTATAAATTTTATTTAAGAACATTACAGTCTAATTTTCCTAAAATGTAATTTATAGTTTCGATTTATAACCAAATTTTTGACTCATGAAATTCTAAATAAAAATCTCTTTTACTGTTATTATTGATTTGCCAAGAATTGGCGTATGTATAATGTTAGCTTCTTTAGTAAAACATGTTCATAAAATAAATTTAATAAATATTGATAATATTAATAAATATTTTAATTTAATAAATATTTTTAATAAATGATGATAACGAATATATTTTTATATCTTTTGAAATCGAATTAAAATTTAAGCTATTTTTAGCGGCACTGTCAGCCAAAGACGAAGTTAAAGCTTCATGGCAAGCTGATGGAACTAGCCGAGTATGCAATTGAAATTGAAGAATTACGCGAAGAATGTCAGCGAACATAGTAAATGTTGTACACATGGCCCAGCCCGCTGGCAGTGGATCCCGATCTGGCCAGAGGGTCGCATACATTAAGGCCGGTTTTCAGAGGACTGGGATGGGGTTCCCAGATAGATACGTACTCGCTGCACGGGGAATTGTCACAAGCGGTTAAGTGATCCACAGCTGATCGGAGGAGTCGTGAAACGAGCAGTACTACAAGGTAGCTGGAGCATCCCCCGCCACAGCTTTTTTTCGCTTTGAGTCTGCTGCGGCGGCATCTAAATGAACTAAAGATCAACTTCGTTTTAGTAGCCTTAGCCTCATTACGAATGGAAATGATGATGGACAATAATGACGCGACAACAGGAAGTCCAAGTCGTCGCTGCAATGCCGACGACAAGTCGTCAACTCGGCTCGAGTCCCCATTTTCCCGCTCCCTGCGATCCAGAGTGAATGAAACCCCAATCGCGGAGAAGTCGAACGCGAACGCGAACTCAAACTCAAACTGGAACTGGGCTAGTGCATCGTTAAATTGATTTGTGTGTGATCCGATCCGCACAACTAGTTTCCGATGGCGATGCCGATGCAGAGGCCTGAGAAAGCACTGCGTTCTGGCGGCCACAAAAACGAAATAGTTTCTGTTTCAATATTTGTTTGAACATTTCAGAAATGCCACTTAAATGCCAGACTCCAGCACCCGCTTCCGTTTATGGTAAGTTCTACGTCTTATCATTGTCATAAGAGAGTTGTAAAGAATCCGGCAAATGTTAATGAGATGGGAATAAATCAACCTTTATGGCGCTGAGAGACAACAGAAATAATCTCCTTTGGCCGGTGCCGTCCAGCAAATTGAGAAACAAAGTTACGACAATTCGAGAATTGGCAGCCGTGGGTAACCGTTAAAACCCATTGCCAGGATTGTCATAATTTCGACGGGTCGACAATGGGAAAATGCAACCAACACCCGCAACTTTCAAGCGCTGGTACCGTTTTCAGCCAGGCTGCCCTGTCCGCCTGGCAATAGAAATTAAAGTTAACAAATTTCCGACAATGTTTGGACAGTTTTGCAAAAAGCCAGCCAACAAAACACAGAACAAAACGGCAACAACACCAAATGACGCCGAGTACCGTAATTGTGGCTCTTTCGGGTTCTTTTGTCCGCATTCAAAGTTGTCAGATAAATGGGGAAAAAGCAGGAGAGAGCGAGTGTTTAGAAGGGAGGAGTATAAATGCACTCAGAAAAACATTTGTAAACAGTTACCCGCTACTGGCAAAGGTATTTAACTTAAACCTAAACATATTTGTAGCACTAGATTATAACAAAGTTATACTTAATTTGAAAATTATACGCTGATGTATCTTTACTTTATTTTTGGCGAAAATCAACAACAAATATTGAGTTAAATAATTTCGTTTAAACTTAAAATGAATGTTCGCTTAAAATAAGAAGAGTTGTAGCTTTGCTTTTGACCACTTCTAATATAAGCTTTCTAAATTGAATACAATTTACATAGTTAAGTTATATGACCTTTATATTTACTAGTTGCGTTTTAACGAACTGATAGACTTAAACCGGAATAAAAATGGTATTCATCAAGCTCTGTAATATAGCTTGTAAAGATATTTAATAATGAAATTCACCTAAAGATGTTCTGAGTGTAGTCCCATTGCAGATCGCTTAGCTGACAATGCAACTCCTAGGTAGCCGGGCCAGCTTCCTTCCATCAGCCAACGCAGACGCCCCAAAGGCCTAAAAGTTGCCGCCAACTTCAAATTGCCGAACATTTCTCCCCCGCCCACTCCGGATCCTTCCTTTTCCGCGGATTTCTTTGGGATTGGGCGGATTGCAGGAGGAGTCTTGGGCTCCGAGCTGCGAATGTGTGTAAAGTTAAGTTGTCGTCGCTCGATTGTTGTTCGATGAATCGTGATTTTGTCAATTGGAGCTCAAATTTTTTTGTGCTCGGTTTCCTTTGTGAATGTGAAAATGTGGCATGGTGGCTTGGTAATGGGAAACGAAAAATGGGTGTGGGAAAGGCAATTAGAGCGATGGAAAGTGCCGTCTAGTTCTAAATCGAATGGGAACCGAGAATGGGGAATACACTTACTTACCTTTGCTCACTCCACTTCGTTTGATTTTGAGTTTCGTGTATTTTCGTAAATAAGAATAATTAGTCTATGAAAGTATTCCACGTGTCATAGTTCTTTGTATAAAATCACAGCTTTTAATAATGTTGGTAGCACGAAAAACTTAATTTAATTTTGTCAAAGGAATTTCAGAAAAATGTTTACCAAATTGAAAATGAAATAATTCTGAAATCGCAAAACAAACTATATATTTACATACAAACTGAAATAGAAACAAGACGTTTGGCAAAATGTAATCCATATATCTAAAACTTAGAGACTAGACATGGACGGACATGTCTAGATATAATCTGCAAAAGATATAATCCTTATCCAGTACAAAACGTCTCCTCGACTACGTGGAAACCTTCTGACCGAAATTTGAATACCCTGTACAAGGGTATAAAAATCAGATTTTTAAAGAGAACTACTTAAATCATCTCTTACCTTTGACCCACAAAACCTTCGTCAAGAACGATGCCAACTGTTGGTTTAAGCAAATAAAATAGCGACTGTTGGAGGAAGGCAACATCAGAAATCAAATATTGATGAGTTATGGTTAAAGTGAAGAGACCGAGACACAAGTTAACACTTTTTGGAGGAACTCAGAAATTAAGCATCGATCTCTTGCACTTGGCCACAATGATCACTGATCACACAAACAGAACGGTTTTCGGTTTGTTTGCCTTCGACAAACAGAAAGGCAAAAGGGAGAACAGAAACGAAATCCAAATAAATCAACACATGCCACAAATGTATAAAAGATGTGAAGGCACCTCGTCTGCGGCTGCAGGCCTCATAATCATATTGATGTATTACAATAGTTTGTGGAAGTGCCGAGTCGACTCGGCTCTTTCAGTTGTAAAAAGCGCTCGTAAAACCTACAAAAACATGGCTGAGAACGCGCCGAACAGTTACAAAAGCCAAATGAGCTGGGGAATAAAGAAAACAAGCCAAGAATGTCTTGGCCAACAGATAAATAATGGAAATGCATACTAATTAAATGGTGAGAACTTTGTTGAGCCGGAGATCTGAGCTTTGCCTAATTATTTGCACTCTAAAGATGTCAGATTGCATCGCTGGTTATTTATCGTCATCAGTGCGAGTATCATCGTTATCAGCATCTCAACAAGATGTTAATTATGATGGAGAAGAGTGTGTCGAGTCTAATTGTGAATGTCAATAGATTTGGTGTGGCTTTCAACTCTGCTTGATGGTTTCGTTTTTTAACATTTCCACTTTAATTGATTCCAATGAGACGATAATTACCGAAGAAAAGGCAATTAATGAAAGCCGTTCACATGGGCAAAAGGAACACAACGAAACCGATATTAATGAAATGATTTTTCATAATTAATGAAATTTAATGCAGACCCAGAAATCGACGTTCAACTCTCAGCGCCGAACAGAAGTTCCCACATCATTAATAAAAAGTAAAACCGAAAAAGAGAAGCGGAGACACACACGATGTGGCCGAAGAGCTGGCGCTACCAAAAGCTGAAATTCAAACGAACTCGAGCAGCAGATACAGAGTTACAAATGTATCTACAAGTCGACAAATTATGCAGCGACAAGCAAGCGCAGCAGCGGCCGGAGATTCCTTCTTATCTGGCTTGTTCTTTTGGGATTGCCTTGGTTTTTGTTGAAAATAAATTATAAACAGTTGGAAATTAAGTCGAACGTTTTGTCCGCTGTCCGTTTAGTGGAAATTTATTGGCCGGGAATCTTCGGCCGCTACCTGAACGGGTACTTTGATCTACGGCCAGATTAAGCTCCCCTATTCCCGCTCAGCGGCTTCACACTCTATTAGCTGCAGCTGAGCAGCCTCTATCGATCGGTTGCATCTGTAAGCGTTTACTCAAATACTTTATCGATTTCATTTGCATAGTCCACAAAATAGATAAAGCTTATATACTTAGCTTCTTTAGCTGCTCAGCCCAACTCTTCTCAAAATGTTCTCAGCTCATAAAATTCCACAGTGAATCATTGTTGGGTCCGTCCCCTTCCTCCGATTTCCGAAGACTCGGAGCTCTGGTCTCCGGCCTGCATTTCATTTATTGTGTAATTCCCTTCAATGTACTTTTGGTTGCCACGGATTTCTTGTCTTCGCTTTTGAATTTGATTCTTGATTTTATGTCAGTTTATTTATGATAAGATGACCTTTTTTCTCCTTTTTTCCGGTGGCTTCGTCTTACCCTCGCTTTTATTATTTATTTTTTCGGCCGTCCCGAGAAAAGGAGTTTCGTTTCTCTAGTTCTCACTCAGTCTCGCTGCATGAATGAATGGATGAATGAAGCTCATTAAATTGGGGATCACTTATGCGAGGGGCTGGGAATCTGCCTGGAGAAGATATTGAAATATGAGTAGGATGCACTGCAAGATTTCGAGGGGGAATTCAAAATGATTTAATTAGGGCCATTCTGATGTCTTATCCGATAATTGTTTTTGGCCGATTTTTATAAGAATAATTTATTTTAAAATTATTTGACAAAAGTTAATCTACTGAAAATGGCAAAACATATTGTAATTTTAGTGAATATCAAAATTTCTACATTTCGATTACTACTTACTTTCCATTTGGAATAAACTCTTCTAGCTTTTCATGTAGTATTTTTTCGCAATGCAAAATGTATATATCCCTGAATAAAAACCATTTTTAAACAAGTACATAGCTACAATTTCCGATCATGAGACGGCCAAGAGCGTTCAAATCTTCAAGCAGCCTCGGCTTACTATTTTGGATTTCGAATCCGAGCGGAGATTTGTGTGCTGTTGCTTTGGCTTCTTTTTTACAGCAGATTTTCAAGATCAACAACGCAGCGTCACGAGAAGAGATGAAAAGCGAGATCTTTTATGGCGATTAGTGCAAGACAATGAATGCACGATGGATTCGAAAAAAAAAACACAGAAACAGACAAAAATACAAAACTAAAAAAAAGAACATTTTCAAACCGGAGTGACAGAGACGGAGACAAGACAACAAGAATGAGAACAAGAACACTGAGTTGTTGATCTTTTTTTTACTTTGGTTTTAGTTCGTTTTATGAGAATTGAGCCAAACAATTTTCAACGCGCTCAGACAAAAGCATAATTGTGGAATGAGTCTGGGCTGGGACACTTCATTTTGTCTGTTATGTTTTTTTTGACGGGCTTTTTGGGTAATATTACTGTCAACGAATGTTCCCATTGCTTGTGTTTATCCAAACATAATTGAAATGCGTCCTCAATGGGTTAATTTGGTGTGGAGCAAGGGGCTAACGTAAACACAATTAGGTGCCAAAAAAAGGAGGAGAACGAGTGGAGATCACCACTTACGGGCATCTCCACACGGGCCAAGATGAAATGACAAAATCTAGAGTAAACCAACTTGATAAACAAACAAAGTGGACGATCATTGATGATGGTCTGTTTGGGCCCCAAGTGTGTGCGACGACCTAACAAAATATTGTCTTAGTGCATTTTAATGGTTTAACCCCTTGAGATCGGCCCGATGCATCTTTGCCGCAATTGTCTCGTAAGCGATACGCCAGCCATCTCCCATTGCAGCGCACCTAGGGTTTCATTTTCCCTCCTGCTGGCTTAATGACTCGCCAGCTTAAATGCAAAGCTTACACTCAGGTGAAAAACTGCTTCTAACGCCCAGAAATCAGTTCATCTAGCTGACCACTTTCAACAAAGACTAAAAAAAGCTTTTAAGTTCTTTATATTTAGGCGGATCAGTTTTAGAATCAATACCATTCTTCATCTAATTTAGGGGATTTTGCACTTTAAATTCAAATTAAACCAGTCTTTATATGTTTTTCCGATTTGGTCAAGAGCTAATAAGTTTTTCTATTTTCTTGTATAAATTCAATTAAGCCAAGATTAAGCCTAGTTTGTGCTATCAGCTAGGAAATTGATTCTTACAACTTCTCATCTTCTTGTCCTGTTCTTTTAAATTAGAGTCTTAAGCCAAGATAAAGCCATTTTTAATGTTAAAAACTTTGTTTGTATACCATTCCCTTTAGTTTCAGCATCCAGAATATGTTTACTATAAATTTAACTTTTTTCCCTGTGCAAAGTTTCCTAATTAGGCAGCATCAGCGGCACAATCTCGACCTGGTCGCCGTCTTGTCGCTTATTTCTCCTTTAGTACCGCCGCTCAGTTTGTAAATCAGACAGATACGCACTCGGCGGGCAGCAACTTCATTAACAGCCTCTCGGCCAGGCCGTTTAAAAAGTAGAAATAAACTATTATTTATGATTATTGTGAGAATTTCACAATGGCATGCGAGAATTTATTGTTAATGCTTTGTAGCTCTACTCTCCACTCTGCGGTGCGTTGAGTATGGTGTGTGATTTGTTGTAATTTCTAGGAGATGCAGCACAGTGGTTGTATTTTATGAATATTATTTTCTTGTTACAATGTCGCGGAAATTTTGATTGAGGCTTATGAAATGAAAGCTACAAATGGCAGTAAATTTGCAAAATTCAGCTTTTGAGGTCAAGTCAAGAATTTATTTACTAATTGTTATTTAAATCAGCATTAAAAATTCTGTACCATTTCGCCATGTAGAGATAAAAAATAATTGAGTCAATAAAATCTGTATATAATTAATACTAAAAAAATATTAATCTATACTCAATAATTAACTCAATAAAATCTGTTGCTAACAAATAATAAAGAAACAATTAATTGGTAACGATTGATTTATCTACCGAATAGAGTTACCGTTTTTGCTTACAGTCAAACATTTATTTTGGGATCCGGTAATAATAATGTCTATCTT